GCTAATAAGCCGGGAAGTTGCCGTTACTGCAGCACATTGCGTCATGGAACCTTGCCAATATGTCCTGATGTTGAACAACGCCTGCGTGGATGGTCCATTACCGAAAGCTAGAGTGCTCGAAATTATTAAGCATCCACTTTATGACGAGTGAGTTCTAAAACAGACTATTTTATTAACATCGGATTTTGATTTTTATGACCCCTGAAAATTAGAAAAGTCACAAAAAACTCTAGCTGTGCAATAATAATAAAAAATAATATGTAAGTACATTTTTTATCGTTAACCTTTCCATGGTACCCAAAAATACTACGTTCTATGCTCCATAACCATGCTGCCTCTTGTCCTTCTTATTGTTATTTCGAAAATATGAATAATTTCTCCATGGTGTTTTACTTGACCGATGAGCACGTGATAAATCGGCACTTAAAATTGCTATTAACAATTTCATTGGTGCCTACCCCGAGATCGAACTCTAGTTTCTCCATTTTATTAAATCCGAGAGCCCGGATACAGAGTTGTCACGAAACGGTATTTAAATCATTAATTTGTCAAATGTTTACTTTTTGCGTTGAAGTGTTTACATACATTTCCTGACGAAAGAAGTTCATTATCATCATCATCATCATAAACCACCCCCACAGACTGCCACGAAGCACAATCCTGAGCCATCTGCATCGATTGACTCCATCTAGTCCCCATTAGGATCCCCCGGTCGTCCTACACTGCGTGGACCAATAAGAGGCTACCATTCGAGAACCTTTCTTACCCAATAATTTAATATGAAATTCAAAAATATTTTTGTTTTCAAGGTTCTTTAAAAGTATGTAAACTACTTTTAGTGAAATAAAGTTTCCTTGGTAGCATAGCTCCAGGAAAAAGTCTGTTATATTCTGTAATTGAAGAGGTATCTCGTTCTTGTGAATAACGTAGTGCTGATATGACTATACATTGAAAAACCGTGTCAAGGCAATGGAATGCAATCTTCTTTCGGGATTATGTCTAAATGAACTGATTTTGTATGGTTTCAGGTACACGAGAGCGCACGACATCGCCTTACTGCGAATAGTACTCGACACGTATAACGTAACTTGGACCAACGACGCCATATTACCTAATAGCTCATTTGGCTTATCAGGTAGTTATGGGCACGGAGATAACAAAAATATTTCGTTTTCCCATTAACGTAGGCTACATATTGAAATATTTTTATTTCTCCTACAACGAAGTTATTAAGATAGTTTTGAATACGTTTTAGTATATTATGGACTTTTATGTATCTACTGATGATGATGATAACATAATGAACATAATTTTGCCTAATAACATAATGAACGTAATCTTTTACAGAACTACATACATTATCTTTCTACCATGAGATTTTTCTGTTTTAATAATATATGTATGTTATTGTGTAATTAATACTAACTTTACAACTTTTGTTTTTAGCTATTATGATATTTATTGCTAAAATTACTGTAGAATAAGGTTCAAATGCCTTTGATAAAATTACTAAAGGAAAAGTGTAAATATAGAATAAAATATCGTAAATACGGTAATCCTCGTGATTTACTAACCTTCGAATTGCTTCGAGAAAGAAGTGCTAAACTACTCGATTCAAACTACAAATCATACTTGAAACGGTTAGAGACTTCTTTGGCATCCAATCCTAAATTGTTATAGACATTTATTAAGCACAAAAGAGGCGGTACCAGCGGATACCCAGCCCAAATGAACTCTGACGATAGTGTTGCAACCAACGGCAAGGACATTTGCGAACTTTTCGCAACACACTTCTCTTTATCTTTTAATACAGATGATATCCCTTTTCCCAATCAGTCACATGGTTTCTCTGATACGAATTTCCTAACAACTTGGACGATTAAGACCGAACAAGTACTCAGGGTTTTAAAAAGACTTGATTGTAGCAAAGGTGCAGGCCCAGATGGAATACCATCTATATTTGTTGTTAAATGCGCCCATGCTTTAGCAGTGCCCCTAACTTTAATATTCAATAAATCTCTAAATACTGGTATTTTCCCGACAGCTTGGAAAGATGCACTCGTTATAACTTTATTTAAAAGTGGTGATGCCAGTTCTGTTAAAAATTATAGGCCTATTTCTATAATCTCAGTTTTTGCTAAAGTTTTCGAATCCATGTTGTGTCCTGTATTATCGTGGCATTTAAAACATCTTATTGTTTCGGAACAACATGGATTTGTCAAAGGACGCTCTACTTCAACAAATCTCATATCCTTCATCGGGGACCTTACTGAGGCAGTAGACAGCGGAAACTCAATAGACGTTATATATACTGACTTCAGTAGGGCTTTCGATAGAGTGAATCATGAATTACTGATCGCCAAACTCTCGTTACTTGGAATATCTGGCAGCTTACTAAGCTGGTTTAGGTCCTACCTAAAAAGTAGAAAACCGACAGTCGTAATGAGTGGTCATAGTTCTGTGCCTTTTACAGCACTATCTGGTGTTCCCCAAGGTTCTAATCTGGGCCCTCTGCTGTTCAACTGTTTCATTAACGACATAGGAACATGTTTCCACAACTCCAAATTTTACATGTTTGCTGATGACTTAAAGTTTTTTAGAACAGTAAATTCAACTCAGGAAGGTCTGTTACCGCTTGAGGATTTAAATAATCTAGCCTCATGGTGCAAAACAAACGGTATGAGTTTAAATATTAGAAAATGTTGCGTGGTACACTTTTCTAGGATAAAAAATTTGCCTAGCGTAACATATTGCGTAAGCGGTGAGCCACTCTCTGAGGCGGTTAACATACGCGATTTAGGCATTGTTCTCGATAACAAGCTAAAATTTAATATTCACATCGATACATTCGTTAAAAGAGGTTTTAAAATGTTGGGTTTTGTTTTACGGAATTGCAGAGAATTTAAGAAACCTGACACTAAAATAGCTATTTACAATGCATTAGTACGAAGTAGTTTAGAGTATTGCAGCACTGTGTGGAACCCGCATTACAGTGTATATGTGAATCGCTTAGAGAGTGTTCAGAAAAGGTTTTTATGGCACTTATCATACAGTTGCAACCTGGCAAAAACACTTATGAGCTATGAAGAACGCTTAAGACACTTTGGCTTACAATCCCTTTTCTGTCGACGAAAGCTGCTTGACTCCACGTTTCTGTATAAACTAGTTAATGGGCAAATTGAGGATACATACTTAGTATCTCAGTTAGACTTGTCTATACCTAGAGGATTCTTGTATCTTGTATTAACTGATGTTTTTGCTTTCAGTCCCGAGACTATTAAAGCTTCATCTGACGCAGAACCGGTGGGCTAGCCAGAACCCACGGGTTTGGGCCCTCCGCTGCATGTGCTCATGCGTGCGTTTAACTACGACATTTCATCTAAGGGCCATCGAAGTTGCGGTGCGGACCGAGACCCCGATGGCCGTCGACTGTGTTTTTAGCTAATCGGTGGCTGCGGGCGGTGAGAACCGCCCTGGAACGCGGGTGTACCTTGTGTACGCGTTGTGTTGGTCTCGCCGTGCTCGGAGGCGAGGGCGAACTATTGTGTTTGTTGGTACACTAGCTGTGGGTGTAGTGTTATCCGGCGGGACCCCCGGCGGTTGGTCCGGCGTATCTAAGTCCCCTTCCTCGACCGGGTCGATGAGGACGTTTCGCGGGCGACGCTTGTTGACGTTCGCGTTTGTGTCGGGTTGGTAATTTGCTGCGCTTACCACCAGAGGGTTGGGATGATGTTCGGCTCTATCGAAAAACCGTTTTGTCAGATCTTTGAAATATTCGCGAATCGTCGGGAGTCTGCAATCGCTGTGCAGATCGACGTTGCGTTGATACCACTGCGCACCGGTTGCACGGCGGATGAACTTATTTTGTACTATTTGCAGCTTGTACAAGCGAGTAGGGTGCGTGTGGGCGAAGATCATGCATGCGTAGGACATAATAGGTCGTACGCAGGTCTTATATAATAATAATTTGTGCCTTAAGGGCATTTTACTTTTAGCGTTAGTTAAATTGTGTAGCCGGCCGGAGACGAACGCGGCTCTATTACGAACGTTATTAATGTGCGTAGTAAATGACATACGCGAGTCGAAAGTGACTCCTAAGAATTTGACCTTTTTCTCCCAGGGGAGCGGTTGGCCATAAAGGGATATTTGCCCCAACTTTCTGCATTGGCGAGGGCCATTATAAAGATGTGACGGGTAAGTACTTCGTGTGAAGTGAATCGCCACACTTTTTTCGGGATTTATTTCTATTCTCCATTTGCGGAACCAATCTCCGAGGCGGTCGGCGGCGCTTTGGAGTCGAGTGGTTAGTATTCTAAGGTTGCGGTCTGAATAAAAGAGTGCGGTGTCATCCGCGAAAAGCGCGAGATTGACGTGGGGGTCTTTGGGTATGTCGCTCGTGTAGAGCGTAAAGAGCAAAGGTGAGAGGCAGGAGCCTTGTGGTACGCCGGCCGTGAGGCGGCGGCTTGTGGAGAGGGTGCCCTCGACTCGATATCGAAAAGAGCGATTCAACAAAAAAGGCCCGGATGGTGTGTACGAGCCTATCTGGCACTTTGAGTGTGTACAGCTTGTAAAGCAAGCCGTTGTGCCAGACCTTGTCGAATGCCTTTGCGACATCGAAGAAAACAGCCCCTGTACTGATATGTTTCGGGTGGTTTAGGCCTTTTAGGATGTGCTCCGTTAGGCGGTATAACTGGTCGGGACAAGAGTGTCTAGCTCGAAATCCGAATTGTTCCGTGGGCAGAAGGCCGTTGGAAAATACGTGCTCTTTGAGCCTGTTTAATAAGAGCCGCTCGTAGAGCTTCCCCAGGCAACTGAGGAGGCTGATGGGACGATAGCTAGAGGGCTGGTTGGCTGGTTTATTCGGCTTGCGAATGCCGATAACCGTGGCTTGTTTCCAGTCGTCCGGAAAGGAGCAACTGGAGAGTAGAGTGTTGAAAATGGTCGCCAGTAAACAGATAAGCGGCCCAGGGAGAGCTTTGAGAATTTTGTTACTGATCTTATCTGGGCCCGGGGCGGATTTCGGTTTTAAATTTTTAATAATATCTTGGACCTCTTCGGGGGTCACTGAACTTAAAGGATCGCCTTCCGGTGGAAGCGCAGCCCTAGTCTCGATTACACGGTCCACCTCCGTTAGGTGGACTGTATCGGTGTGTTCGCGCCATGGCGTA